CTCTCCTCGAGGTGACACCAAGATTAAAACAAATCTGCGCGCCCCGACAGGCACATGTATCTCACTAATTTGTAAGTCTGGTCAAAAATATTTACAATAGCACATCGTTTCAATGCTGGATTTGCTGAAATGTACATTTATAATTTCTTAGTTCAGGACCATGGACAGTGCAGCTTCCTTGCATTGGACAGTTCTCTGTGACTGAATTTCTGCTGATTTCCTTTGCCTCATTTTTTTATTTTGTGACCTGTCTGGTTTAAATGGAGTGTGTTGGATGCTCTTGAGTGAAGCCTAAATTTGATAAAGTTTTCAAATTAAATTCTGAAATATTTCGTTAATAAACATTTCATGAGTAATATAGTTGTCTTTGTCACATGTTATGGCGAGTAGTAAATAATTTATGCACATTTACAGATATTTTACCATGATATTAGTGAAATAACAGACGTGTATAAGGCTATTGTTGCACAAAGGTGTGCCTGAAGATTTGTACTTGTCCTTTAGGTGTTGCCTTGGGCACAAACAGTTTTGGGAAACCACTGCTCTAGAGATGATAGGAAAGGAGGTATCAAACTTCTTTATACCTCCCTTTACAAAAGGGAAAGGAGAAAATGCTGCGCCCACAATGCCTTGCGGCCGCAACACTTACCATGGAACATCATTCGGGCCGTTAACGGAAACTGACCGATCGTGGACCAATAAATATATCATGAAAGTTACCGGTGCTTATTAAGCATCTTTACAACGTATTTACCGTAACTTGCTAAATTGCTTTGTTTTTGAAACGTTTGCAACACTATTAATAATCAAAAGGGAAAATGATGTGAAAATGCTATGAACGTTTACTTTTTTACTGAAATTATGCTAATAAGTCCAAGCATTGCACAGGTGGTTTACTGAGCTGTGTGGGGTTCTTAGGTGTACCACAGTTTGAATGGTGATGATACACAGTGAGTAGATTAAGGCCTAACAAGTTTATCAATAAATACAACGTGTATTATATTTTAACAAATCTTTTCCAACAATCATACGTATTGTGATTGCATGTAGATTAAACTGTTGAAGCATATGTTTCACTTAAAGGGGGACCTATTCATGCAAAATTTACTGTGTACGTTCTTCTTATACATGGAATATGTGTCCCCGGTGTCTCAGGGAACTCACCAAGTGTCAGAAAACACAACCCTCTCCTTCCTCAATACCCAAATGTCTCTAAAAACGCGGGGGATGCAACAGATCTGAAGACGGACTGGATACAGATTTGAAAGTATCTATGACTCAGAAACAAGGAGCTCCGCCTATATGGGCAACTCTCCAGCCTATCAGGGGGAAGGGACGAGCGTTGGGCGTGGGGCGATGGGTAACAGCACCGCCAATTCCAGGACAGTGGTCATGAAAGGTAGATATATTGTTTCTCTGTGGTCACATTCATTAAAGGCACTAAAACAACAGCACAGGAGCACGGCGGCAGAGTGCTCTAGGATGGAGTTCAGTAGTCCCTCGTTCTTATTATACATCCATGTTGTAGTCCGTTGTATAGAAAACTGTAGTTTCCATAGTTTCCCCACAGCAGCAGACGCACATTTATGACGTCCGCTGGCGCATCATAAACACGTCGTATAGTCTAAGTGCAGTCGAATTCTCAAAGCACCGCTGTCTCTTTTCCTAAGTGCTTTTGAATTCTCCTATCCACTATCCCTTATTAAGGAATAGTGGATAGGAAAAGACGATAGGAGCTGATTTTTGGACAATTTGACTGCAACCTTAAACTGAGCAAAACAGAGAGGAAGAGCCAGCTTCTGAAGACTCTTCAAGGGTTCCCACGGTCATGGGAAACCTGGAAAATCGTGGAAATAGTCCTTGAGCGCCATCCTCAAATCAAGCTTTTTGAATCAGCAGCTGGTTACTGTTTTCTGAACGCAAATAAACAACGCAATATTTGATCAGCAAAGTTGATTGACACAACAGTTAAACATCGGCCACTGCCCTCAACAAATGTCATCCTTCTTGCAGAAAGGCCAAGACAGTCCGGGACCCGGAGTAATCTGCGGCCGCGAGCTGTTATGTGTCATCATGACACGCATGGTGTTATTTTTGTATATATTATAATGAAGCGCGAGCTGTGTGCTGGAGTCTTCCTGTCTGTCGGCTGAACTCTGCTGCTGCGGCATGATGGTCTAACTTCAGCAGCTACATTACCTACGGTGCGTTCGTTAATAGTAACTGCGGTCTGGAGTCACTGGCACAGACTCGACCGCTGGTGAACAGCTGTTAGAACGGGCTGTTCAGGTGTTCAGAGTAGAGCTCCCTGTCGGAGCGGCAGAGCGTAATGTGAACTGAAAAGTCTTTCTGTCGCAATATTATTTAAGGAATCGTCACTATCTGCTAACGTTAGCTTTAGCCTTTGTTTTCTAATCGTTTTTTCATAAGCTATAAACAGAGGTGGCATAAGTATAGATCTTGTACTAGAGTAAAAGTAGAAGTACTCAGATCTTGTACTAGAGTAAAAGTAGAAGTACTCAGATATTGTACTTGAGTAAAAGTAGAAGTATTCAGAGACTAGGGAAAGAGCCGTTTTTTTGAAGGGGGCGGGGTTAATACGTTTATCTGCGAAATAATCACCATGATAATGATTATGACTCACCCGCGCTGCTGGCCAATGGAGACCGACGTTGCCACATGGCCGCAATCTTGCTACAGGCAGTGCTCTCATTCATAACATTATAGTTTACTATTTAAATAACCATAGCTTGCTCAATTCTCAACCAATTTTCAAACGGTTTGGTTTTTTATAAACATCAAAGATGTAGTTATGATACTGCATACTTATAATCATGGACTTTCTTATGAAATAACATTAAGCAGATAAAGCAATAGCTACACACACACACACACACACACACACACACACACACACACACACACACACACACACACGAGTATATTTATATTGCATATGCAAAACTTTTATCAGGAAGGGGGGCTGACATTGTGGGGCATAGAAAAGGTTGTGAATAGGGTGGTGTGTGTGTCTGTGTGTGTCTGTGTGTGTATGTGTGTGTGTGTGTGTGTGTGTGTGTGTGTGTGTGTGTGTGTGTGTGTGTGTGTGTGTGTGTGTGTGTGTGTGTGTGTGTGTGTGTGTGT